CTTCGTTGATGCTTATATATAACCTGTATGACGCAACAAAATTCCGATACATAAATTCAAGAAGAATGCAGTATAAAAATATATAAATGTTAATACGCCAGGATTAGATAATTATTTTGTGTACTTTGTTAAAGTCTCGCTTAATATCAGTTTAATCTTGTTCATCTGCGTGACCTTTTCCTTAAGTTCCTTTCTTCTGTTCAGTTCGCTACGCATCGTCACCTTCAGTTGTTTCATTTCCTCTAAATTGGCTAGAAATTATCAACAACATTCTCTTCTCAGCAAGTAGTAGTAAAAGAAAATCGAAAAGTCGATAGGTAAAAACGTAAGAGTAATTGCATGAGAATGTCTTTTCTTCCCACTCAAGTTTTACATTTCATTGGCGTGCTACGTCACACTTTACTTACCGTCGAGATTTTCCTTCATTGCCGCAATTTCCATTTTTAAACAGGTTTCTAGCACTATCGCAAATTGAGGATCGTCGTGACTCTCCTGATTATCCATATCTATTATTCTTTTCGTCGAAAATTATATACTTTTGTGCGATGCGACGTGATACGTGCGTACACCTTGAAGCGACGTTATTTTTTTGAATGGTCTGAAGTTGTATGCAATCGAGGAACAAGTGTCGCGCTTAGCAGGGGCGAATGGTGACTTTTCGGGTCTGCTGCTAATACTATTTCAGGGATGTTTTTTTCGGAAAGAACAAAAAATTGCAATAACGCCAAAAAAGGACGAAAAAATTACTATAAAAACTAATTTTTCTATCATAACTCACAATCGTTTTCTTATTATTTTAATGATACTATAATTTTATCTGTTTTATCTAGACAACAGCTTATAATAATATTTAAACATTAATAAATATACAATTTGAATAAAATGTACTTATAATAATTAAGTAATATTTATAAAAACGATATGGACGGTTTAACGTTTTACCAGAAATAATTAAATTAAATTTATAAAAATAATTAACTATATACAGGATCTCACATACAGGGAAGTTGCTGAAACCAATTAGCTTTTATTCTGTAATGCATACGGATCGGGAAAAATATTGAGAAAAATAAAATTGCGTTTAATAGAAGACATTTGACAGTTTTAAGTGCGCCCCGTTACTATTTCAACAAAAATCAATTGTTTTAAACTGCATAAAACTTTGTGTAAATAATCATTTATTGCACCATTATTTTATTATTTTATTGTACCAGCAAGAGATGAAACTAATAGACATTAGGCAGGACAAATTGTACAGGCAAGAAGCTATACATTTATTTGCGTGATGATTAAATAGAGTGCCGATAATTCAGGATAACAAATAAATAATCTTTTTACATTCCAGATCACGTATCTCGATAGCAGATCGCAACAGCTGTAAGATAAAGTGCCCTGATTCTTTTCTCTATCGTGTTATATGATTGCGCGAAGGGTCAACGGTGAACGCAACATAAATCCGTGGCGGGACGCCATAAATCTCACGGTGTCGTATTATGATTACGTGCGAGCATTATTCCGTAAGTGGTGTATAACTCATTTGCTCTCAAACATACCACGGATGCTCGTAGATCTTTCGCGGTCCTCCGCTAATGCGGCCTATAGGTGTTGTTGGAGGAAACGCTCTGTAGACAGGTATCTGCGAAGTTTCAGGTATCTGCCGGCGCGCAACGGATGGAACATCTATGGACGGGTCACGTCAGAGTCCCTTTCTCAGGTACGTCAGGCAGGTGATAACGGGAGATGAAAATGGTGCGACAGTCAATTTAGCTTTAGATAGAGTTCATGTTTTATATAGTTTCACGTTTCTCGCACTCCTTCGTCTACCTGCGAATTCTTTTCGTCAAAAGATTGTAAAATCAAAATTGTGGTTTTTTTTTTCAAAATTTGGTTGTCTTGACATAACATCCGTATAACTTAACGTAATATTATATGATGTGTCATATAATTATGAAAGTATAATCAATTAATTTTGCACTGAATTTTGATAAGAAAGGAAAAAGACTTTCATCTCTATAAAAATATTTCTGTGCCGGCGAAAATATGAGTTTTCAGAGATTATAATTTATTGTGAAGTTTCACTCTAACATTGCGTCTTCAATTACTCGTTATTTTATAATTTTAAAGTGAAGCAATTACACAAATGTCTCATAGTATAAATTTTTAAATCCTTGTGGAAGGATTTATATATTGACATTTTTCTAAAATAAATACCAATGAAACAAATATTTAAACTCAACATCAGAAATATCGAGATACACCCATCAAAAGATTCTCATTTATTTTAAGTAAATGATTAATTAACTACAGACTCTTGATAAATTAATGAGTAACAATAAGGAAAAGCGGGCTTTGAGTTAAACGTGGTTAGTTGTACTGTCAACGGTGACCAGCCAGGCGAACCAGCTGCTCTTTGAAACCAAGTCCGTCCTTTGATTGTATCATTGTCTCGATTACCTCAATCACCGCCGCTTAAAAATCACTTCAGTTTCCATTGTCTTTTTCAAGGTTTTAGTTTGTTAATTTCACGTTATCTTGGTTTGATGAGTGGATTTTACTTCTCTTTGCCAGTCCCAACTTTTATTTTTAGTCTGAATATTTTGCAGACTATGAATATTGACAGAATTTTTTTGGTATTTTCTCTTGAAAATTACATTGTCTTTGTACATTCAATTTTTAAATACCTTATGCTTGTCGGGGAGAGTTTCAGATTATTTAATTTCTTTAATTTTTCTATCAGCGCGTCGCTGAAGATGGCTCAAAGTAGAGCCAAAACGTACAATTTATAATTTGTATTAAATTATTAATTAAAAAACACAGCGTTAACTCACTCCCAACTAACCGCGTTTAACTCTCAAAAATTACTTTTCTTTGTTAGAAACTCGTTAATTTTCACTTATTTTAATAACAATATTACGCAATTAACTTCTGGTTGCAAAATATAAGAACTGTAATTGAATTTAATTTAACTTATTGAAACTAATTGTCAACATAATAATCAAAAGGTAACAATAATTTTGTAATATACGAATTAATTCTAACAATTAAATTGCGAATGAAAGAAATCTAATAATATAGCTGATTGCGTTCACTGAAAAAAAAATTTTTTAGATCCAAAAAATGGATCTAAAAAATTTTTTTTCAGTGTTTGTGCATTAAAGGAAAAGCGAGTGTTTAATAATCTGTGAAGAAATAAATTAATAATTTGAATTACAATGTAATTACGACACGACTCGCAGAATTAAGATCGATTTCTTTTCATTCGAAATTGGCGCTTTGTTACTTCAGAAACGATGTTTCATCTTTTCTTTGACTATACGTAATGAAACGCTGATTTCTCCGCTCCCTATTTTGATGCGAATGCAACTTATGCAACAGTATAACAATACGTCAAGTCTGATAAGAGGCGGTAATCATTGCGACTGTTGAATGGTATAGTAACAGCCTTCTTAAAGAACATTTGAATGAAAACTACTGGCAATGGAAGTGTGTCACCTTAATGTAACAATCCTCAATCTTCGTGTCATCTTAGAGTAACAATTTTCTTAATGTAACAATCTTCAAATAACGACGCGATACATTAAATTGTAGCATACTAGCTTTGAAACTTTAGAAATGGCACGTTAGAAACTCGCGCAGTTCACGAGGAGGAATTGCATCCTGTTACATGTCCGCGGCAGAACTTTACGAGGCTATAAGCGTGTTAGACGATAAACTGCCTCGTGTACTCTCGAGAAACGTTTGTTATTTGGAAAAACTGTTATCTGTTTAAGATGACCAAAGGATGTTGTCTATTAAAAAGTGATTGAACATGTCCAATGTTTATTTTTATTTCCGATTGAATGTGCCAGATACTGGAATATTTATTTCTGTATAATCGTTTGAATGTTTATTGACTACATTTGTATTTTAATAAGTATTTTCCCTAAGAAGATAATTCCTTCTGATGGGATGAACAGACAAAATTTATGTGTATGATATTCGAAGGATAATGTCCTCTTTCGGCAGTAAAATAAATCAAAAGCAAAGTTGAAAATAAAAAATAAATCGGAATAAATTTATTGTTACTACCGGTTTTTAGTTTTAAATGATCGTTGCATTACTTATAGACGTAATAATATCGAAGGAATCATATTCTTAAGTAGAAATGAAATGTGGAAGATAAATCGGCGATTGGATTTTGGCTTTGGCTTGTATTAAAGTATAAATAATGCATAAGATGATTATTGACGATATTCTGACATCAATTCCAATACATATTTCATAGGAATCATTAACATGGTGAGTTGCATTATTCTTTAACTCTGCCTGAAGAATAATGAAATATATTAATACATGTATGTTCCAATACAGCCTTACGTTATATAACTTGCATATTGCACAAAGATATAAATATTTAATTAAATTTAATTTATATTTAGAGTTAACGTTAAATTAAATAAGTGTTAAAATTTATTTTAAACCAAGAATTATTTTTTTATTACTTTCACAATTTAATATATACTTATCTATTATTTATTTTTTAAGTATATATCTTAAGTACCTATATATTAATGTCAAACAACAAAATCGCCAAACAGATCGATTATTTTGTGACATTGCTATTTTTATAAATAATTATAATGCATGAATGTCTGCACACTATGCATATTATTATGTAAAAATCAGTTTTATGTGTTAATGAATAAAATTCGTGGCATGTGGTGTACATTGCAGATTAAGTTTACAGAATGCACTTTAAATCTCGCATCTCGTTTATGGTGGGCGTTGTTTCATGTATTACAAACAGGCGTTGCTTGTAACATCGTTACTTCGTTAAAAGTTTGTTAGTGCAGCATAAAGGTGTAATAAGTAACGTTACGAGGTGAATGTTAGTGTTAACAAGTTATCCATAAAAGATATACACGTGTCTCAAAGCATTGCATTTTCGTCCGCTACAAAATACCCAAGTGTCTTCCTCCAAAGAGGAAGTTATTTAGAACTTCCTCTTGTTGTTATATTTAACTATAAATAAAACTATAATTGGATGCGATTTTTAAACCTTTACTAATTACATCACTGCTTTAATAAAAAAAAAAAATTCGTTTGCCTTAAGAAAAAATTGCAATAAATTTGAGACATCCTATAGGAATTTTATTATTATCAACAGAAACTTTCGCTCTGAAATTGCGCTTAATCTAGAAAAGAGCTGTCCGGCGGGCGTACTTTATGCGCGATCGGTATTTTCACTTCCCCATTCTCTGCCTCATTCCTGCGAGTCCTCTGTAAGAGTAGGAGGGACTGACGCATTCCAAAATAGTGCAAATCGATAAGAAGTTGTTCACCGCCCCAAATACAAATATATGATTTTTTCCACTTTGAACGTTATGCATAAAATGCATAAAATATTGCTTGATATTGCAATTCTGATTTCGTTATTTGCACTAGTTCTGAACTTTAAAATCACGGATTTTTATAAATTAGAATTCCTATAAAAATCTTGAATCAGTGTGTAATATATTTTTTAA